TGAGCTACCTCTTAAATAACTTAAATAGGTACATGGCCATTACCTTTAATATTGTTCCTCTGAATGATCTCTCTTATTCTTTAAGAAGGTTTTTTTTTTTAAGCAATATATGCTCGTGTTAAAAGTTTTCAAAACAAACAAACAAAAACTATGAAAGAAAGCTAAGTCTCCTTTCTTCCTCAGTCCTCCAGTCCCATTCTTTAGGCAACTACTATCTATTAAAAAATATTTGCAGCACATTATATACCTATTGGAATGGCCAAAATCCAGAATACTGACAATGCCAAATGCTGGTAAGGATGTGAAGCAACAGGAATTCTCATTCATTTCTGGTGTGAATGCAAAATGATACAGTCACTTTGGAAGACAGTTTGGCGATACCTTAAAAAACTAAACATACTCTTATCATGCAATCCAGCAATCGTGCTCCGTGGTATTTACCCAAAAGAGTTGAAAACTTATGTCTATACAAAAGCCTGCACATGGATGTTTATAGCAACTCTTTTCATAGTTGCCAAAACTTTAAAGCAACCAAGATGTCCTTCAGTAGGTAAATGGATAAACAAGCTGTGTTATATTCAGTCAATGGAATTTTATTCAGTGCTAAAAATAAATGAACTATCAAACTATGAAAAGACATTGAGGAACCTTAAAATGCATATTACTAAGTGCAAGAAACCAATCAGAAAAGGCTGTGTACTGTGTGATTCCAACTATATGACATTCTGGAAAAGGTAAAACTATGCATATACTGAAAAGATTAGTGGTTGTCAGGCTTGGGGAGGGAGGGGGATGAGTGAATAGGTGGAGCATAGAGGATATTTAGGATACTCTGTGTGATACCATAATGATAGATATATATCATATTTATCCAAACCCATAGAATGTACACCACCAAAAGAGAGCTCTTGAGGTAGCCTATGACTTTGGGTGATTATGATGTGTCAGTGTAGGTTCATCAGTTGTAATATATTTACCACTCTGGGTAAGCTGTGCATGTCAGAGGCCAGGCTGTATGTATGGGAAAGTTTCTGTACCTTCCTCTTAATTTTGTTGTGAACCTAAAACTGCTCTTAAAACAATAAAGTCTTTTTTTTTTTTCTAATTATTTTCATGCCTTTCCAGAATTTTTCTGGGTATATCCAAGTGTGTGTATGTGTGCAATTTTTTTAGTATACCTCAGTGGGACCATATTATAGATATCGTTCTGTCCCTCTCATTTGTTCATTTAATAACTTATCAATATTTCTGAGGAACCTGTATATTTCTCACTTTTAGGTGTGTGATAATAATGTAGATTCACCATTTTAGTTTTGTATTTTTCTTTGCTCTTACCAGCAGTTTCATTGATCATTCTTATTCTTGTACATATATCTGGCTCCAGTAACTTTTATTATTTTATTAACTCATAATGCTCATTTTCTCTTGCCTCTAACTTTCAATTCAGTCGGTTTTTTTGTCATTCTTTTTTTTCCCCATTTAACATCTTTATTGGAGTATAATTGCTTTACAATGGTGTGTTAGTTTCTGCTTTATAACAAAGTGAATCAGTTATACATATACATATATCCCCATATCTCTTCCCTCTTGCGTCTCCCTCCCTCCCACCCTCCCTATCCCACACCTCTAGGTGGTCACAAAGCACCAACAATTCAATCTTTATTTTCTTGTAGAACTGTGGGAATAATATGTACAATGTGATCTCATTTGTGTACATTAGATATATACACACACACATATAACAAGTATATGCATAACAAGTTTTCTGGAAGGGTATATAAGATACAATTAACTGTGATTATCTTTAGAGGGACCTAATAACAGAAGCAGAGGATGGTAGAGACTATTTTTATATATAAGTTTCTGTATGGCTTATATTGTGATTTAAAAAAAATAAAAATGAAATTTAGAAGTTACAGTCTATGTCCAGAAGAAAAAGGCAAAAATACACTGTTAGTGTGGTATTTGCCACTTTTTAAACACTTAAATACCTATAAAAATTCATAAGAGAGAGTGAAAACTCGTTGAACTTTTAGGTGAACATCAAAGCAGTTTAGTAGATGAGTTGTATTATAAGCATATTGTTACCCTTTTATTTCCATAAAAATCTGTTTTAAGTAAAATTTATAAAACAAAATACTGAAATATGTCAACCATATGAGTTAGGGCTAAGCTAAAAGCAGAGCTATATCATCCTCTTTCTCATATTAAGTCTGCCAAAAATTCTTCTCAATTCTTGGAATATGAATTTTTCTATCAATAGACATGTTCACCTTCTTAATTTCCCCTCCACATGTGACATACCTTACTTTGGACACCATAACGTGAATAGTATTGGAGTAGCCTCCCAATTAATAGTTCTCATTCCCACGATGTTTATCTCCTTAAATTTCTTATTTATTTATTTAAATTTATTTTTTAAATTTATTTTTGGCTGCGTTGGGTCTTCATTGCTGTGCATGGGCTTTCTCTAGTTGCAGCGAGCAGGGCCTACTCTTTGTTGCAGTGTGCGGGCATCTCATTGTGGCGGCTTCTCTTTGTTGTGGAGCATGGGCTCTAGGCATGCAGGCTTCAGTAGTTGTGGCATATGGGCTCAGTAGTTGTGGCTTGCAGACTCAGTAGTTGTGGTACACAGGCTTAGCTGCTCTGCGGCATGTGGGATCTTCCCGGACCAGGGCTCGAACCCGTGTCCCCTGTATTGGCAAGCGGATTCTTAACCACTGTGCCACGAGGGAAGCCCTCTCCTTAAATTTCTACATAACATATTGTACCTCCTCACTGAGAATACACTCTTTAGGCATTTATTATCTTTATAATAAGTGAGATTATGTTTAAGAATTTAGCTCACAGGCCCTTCAATTCTATTTTCTGTCTCTTCTGGATCTGAACTGGCTTTCATAGGAATTATTTTTACTTTAAGGACAAATTTACATACATTTCTTAGAATTTCTTACATATGACCCACATTTGTAGGCTGCTCATATTTTGTTACCTCTAAAGTTGGTAGATATTTCAGTATTACTGAAATCTGTAGTTTCCACCAATCTAGTGCTTGTGTTCTGAGATGTTTCGAAAGGCAATAGTACAATGTATATGTAGGGATGAACCCATAAGAAAGCCTGAGCAAAATGGGGGTGGTGGAGTTGTTACACTTCTATCAGCATATAAGTCATGCTATTGCTTAAGAATTTGTTTTAAAAAGAAAAGAGGGGGGCTTCCCTGGTGGCGCAGTGGTTGAGAGTCCGCCTGCCAATGCAGGGGACACGGGTTCGTGCCCCGGTCCGGGAGAATCCCACATGTGGAGCGGCTGGGCCGCTCAGCCTGCGCCTCCGGAGCCTGCGCGTCCGGAGCCTGTGCTCCGCAATGGGAGAGGCCACAACAGTGAGAGGCCCGCATAACACACACTCACACACACACACACACAAAAAAAAGAGGAATTTCCACTGCTAAAACAAGTTTTAATGAATCTCTGTCCCCTGGCCATGGCCTTTCTTTCTGAACACTTTTTATGCATATAGTACCTATTAGCTAGTATAAGGTAATTTTATTTTATCACCTAGTTATCTTCTTGACCTTTAATTGAATTTTCATAGATTATGATTTGCTGTATCAATTTCATTTATTATTGTTAACAGAAGAAAGCAAAGTATTGGACTTAGATCACTCAGATTTAGGTTTGAGTCATTGATTTGCCACATATTAGCTTATGCGTCTTGAGTGAGCTGGTTTATTCTCTCAGCTGTAACAAAGGTTAATGTGAGAATTAAATCAGATACTGTAAGTGCAGCATCAAAACAGAGTTTTAATAAATGGTATCTAGTAACAGAAAAGATAGTAGTAGAAGTGATGATATTTAGCACTATTGTTTAAAACAATTGTAGCTTCTGGTTTTGTTTGCTAAGGAAAAGTAATTTCTGTAATTCTTCAAAATTGGTATGTGAGGTGTCCATCTTTCCAAAATGAAACATCAGTAAATAATAGGAATTTTAAAAATCATGAGTACATTTGCATGAAATCTTAAAAAGGAATGAAAATCAAACAGTATAATTATACATTTAATTTTTTAAAGTTTTTGTTTAAAATACCTATTAGGTTTTTTTTTTTAAGCACCTATTAGGTGCTTCACTTGAATTTATTTAATCCTTATGATAATTCTATGAGGTACCCATACTATTTCTACCTCTCTTTTACAGATAAGATAACAGAGAGGTCAAGTAACTAACTTCTGAAGGGTATACAACTAATAAGTGATAGAGTCAATATTTATACCTTTCTAATTTCAGAGTCTCCATTCTTAATGCTGCCACATTACTTTTTAAAAATTATAGCACAGTATACTCTTCTGTGACACTCCAGCTTTGACTTGGTGATTTTTGATCCAGTAAAATACCTTATGACAAAACACCTGGGTTATAGTTTTTCTCCCCAATGGAAAATGTTGTTTTTTTGTCATTGTAAGATGTATTTGATCATAAAAAATCTGAGTAATTAGATATATAGAGAGGGCTTTGGGGTAAAAGCATTATTAAAGTACCTATAATATAAAGAAACTTTTACTTCATTTTAAATCTAGAGCTTGTAGGAATGCCACATAGCCTCATTGAGTACCTCGAGCATAAAACAACTTAATAATTACTAAGAATCAGGTATAAAAGGCCCTTATGGGTCATTTTTTTTTTTTTTTAGCATTAATCCTGATACTATAATGGTAGCTAATGTTTATTGATTATTTACTTTGTTTTGGGCACTTCCATGGTCACTGACCTCACTTAATCTTTTCATCAGTCTGTGAAGGAGGTACTATTATTATCTCTGTTTTACAGCTCATTAAACTAAGATTTAAAGAGGTTTGTATAATTGCCTAAGGCTTCACAGTATTGACATAAGTGTATTATGAGTCTTCACTCCAAATTATTTTTTACAGCTCATAAAACAGCAGTATTTGAAAGAAAAATTACTGGGATCATGAAACATTCTTATAGTGAATTTTCTTTCTTTAGGTTCACAATATTCTTGCAGAAATGGTGATGGGGGGAATGGTATTGGAGACCAACATGAATGAGATTGTTACACAAATTGATGCACAAAATAAACTGGAGAAATCTGAGGTAAGAATGGAAAGTGCTTTAGTTAATGAAGGTAGTAAGCATGATCATAAATTATGCATGATTTGTAGCTTTCACTGTTTGTCCTTCAGTATCACCCTTTAGGTACAGCTGGTATGCTTATTCAATTTTAAAAAGAAGTGGAATATACACATTTTAGTATGTTAAATGTTCTGTGACCACTATCCACCAAATAGTTTTGTGTATTCTTTTAGCCACAGTTGTAATTGCTTTGGGTAATGAATAAAATTCCCAATTCTTGTTGCTTAAAAAAGAAATTATGAATAATGCAATCAATATTTGTTATTAAACCTTAGTCATTAATTATCAAGGAAGTCTTAGAACTGGTTTTCTAAAGGTATATAAATTTAGTGTTTTATAAAACTATTTCTGCAAAAGGAAAGGAGAGAAAATGGAATTCTCATAAGGAAGTAGTGTTATAATGGGTGCTTAGTAGGCCTGAGTGCACATTGAAAAAAGAAATTCAGTGCTCTAATCTTTTAATTCTGGATCCTTCCCAAAGGTCACTGACAAGTTAGCTAAATCATACATTCCATATAATGATACACGTATTCATGGCTTTTATTGCATTCTAGAAGAGAAAGATTTGGTTAGTTATATACAGCTAACTTTGTGCTGCTAAATTGAGTGAATGAGGACCAACCAGCAGTTTCGCCTTTTGTAAAACTCTACTTTAGAATTGTATGACTCTTCCCCCAATAACAAGGCTGAATATCAGTAACAGGTGCTGTAGCTGAGCCTCTCAAGTTTACATGATTTTGGTTGTTTCTTATTGCTATACAGAAATTTAGAAAGATGAATAGTCTTGATATCTCATTCAATACTACACATGTTTGAGGATACTCTTACCTTTGGTATTTATAGTCATAATACAGAAAACTAATTTTATTTATAATTATTAGTACAGTTATTTGGTTGATCTAAAGTAAATATTACTATAAAAGCAGAAAGATATTAAAAATATGCTAGCATTAATTTACAACAGGTGAGTTCTGAAGAATTTTTATCTTGTTGGCTTTTCAAAAGATCAGCTTGAAATGCTGTGCTCATTGGAATGGAATGAAACACAGGATGGTGGATAAATCTGAAATCTGAGGATTAGAAACAGTTGAAGTTTTGTATAAAAACATTTTCCAATGTTCTGTTTTAAATTAAAATAGTCCTTAATTTCTCTTTATCTCAAGTTATCATCCTCCTTGGTTTCCCAAAGGAGAGGGTTGTAATGGGGAAGAGCTTAAAATTATGACTCTTTTTAAGTAATTGTATATATTTTGTGTGTTCTACAGCCAATTTTTAAAATACTGATTTTTGAAAAGGGAAAACAAACTAGATTAATAGAGAAAATTTTGTTTTAGGACAAGGAAAAGGGCTAAGAGTATTATTTAGTAGAGTTGGCTTGTAGTGTATTGTTCAATATGGCAAAAGGTTTACCATAAACACTAAGCTATAGTTTTTAAAGTTTTAAAATGATAACTTGAAGTTTATGTCTGTTAAACTTTGCTTTACAAAACTATATGGTTATAGATTTTAAATGCCAAGAGACAGACAGTGATACAATCCATTAATAATTAGTCTAAAATGAGTGGATATGTGGTAATTTGTGAATTCCATGTAATCATCTGTAAAAATATATCGACCTCTTGTCTGGAATTATCACATTTCCAGGTATTTAACTCCTTTCCATTGGTGGTGCCCTTCCTCCCACCTGCCCACCTTTTCCTCCTTAGGTTTGCTATATATAATATTGACAGAAGTCATGAAGGACCTGTAATAATTACAAAATGGATATTTTCTTTTTGATTGTCCAGTAAAACTTCGTTAATGAGCCTGTTTTTTTTAATCTATAAAGAACAGTAAAATAAAGAATTTACATTTTTAGTGGAAATAGTTATAAGAACATTATAACTTAAAGTCCTTTAACAGAAACATGCTATTTAAACGTGCTATTTAAAATGGTTTTGAATACTGGTGAATATTTGTTTTTCATCCACTGATTGTCTTTTAATATGTATAATCAATTGTTATCTGCTACCAAATTAGTTTTTCTTTTTCTCCTTTACAAAAAAAGTATGTTTTAAATCTGATTGATAAACTAACATATGTTTATCAAGTGTTTCTCTATATGTGATGTCTGCTAATATTTTCCTCATAAAGTAGGGTTTTGAGTCACGGTGAAGCCATATAGTTCTGATCATACTTTAAGAAATTGTGTTTAAATAATGTTGATTTTATGTAATTTTTCAGCAATTTTCATATATTTTAAATATGTTTGGAAGGCTACCAGCTTTATTCCAGACGCAGTGAAATGTCAAGAGTTTTCATATGGGTTCCTTTTCCATGTTATTTAAACTGGTTATATCTACCAAATATATGACTGCAGAATAATCCAAAATTATTTGAGAGCAAGCTATAAGCTTTTATTAATCTTACTCTTACAAAATTTTAGTTAAAATGATTATGTAAGCGAAAAGCTACAAAGCAAATCTTAAAGTTCAGAATACCATGATTGATGAAAAGACCTGTTTATCATGTTTTAAAAATTAATTTAAGTAATGTTTAGAATATCATTTATCTTTTAAGAAGCCTGTATATAATTAATATACAGCTTTTAAAATATAACATGGATGTATCGAGTCGCCTTTACTTTGTCAGAAATCAAAGATTTTATTATTTTATCTTAAAAGTAGTATATTTCTGGTAACAGTCAAAAGTGAACCAGTTTAATTCCCATTACCTAGACAGGTAGAAGCAAAGATCACCCAGATCTTTAAAGAGACGAGAAGCAAAGATATGCTCTGAATATATTTTCACCTATCCTGCTTTGATAGATAAATGGTTTACTATAACATTGGGATCTTGGGAAAGGAGGATTTAAGCTGGGAGGTTGGTGGGATTTGGGGGAAGTGTAAGAGGCACTCAGGAATCTGCCTAGGAGTAAAAGGACTCCCTGGGGGTGGAGGTAGAGGGGTGGGGTTGGGGAGACTTGTTAGCCTTTATGTATTTCATGTGATTTTCAAGATGAATAAATGGGTCTGAATTTAGTCACTACTTTTTAAAAGTCAGTCCTCTTTTTTCCGAACATCCTGATCTTTCTAGCTCTTTCCATTCTTCTCTCTTACAGACCTTTATCTTTCAATCTCCCAGACAGGACAGGTAGACAAGGTATTGCTGACTTTGAGAAAAATGTATTTTAACAAAGGGAAAGCAAAATGATGTCAAAGGCAATTAATTATTTAGGCCAGACTCAAAAATTCTTTGTGTTAATGAACCCATATAGTCCCTGTAGCCTATTTTCCATTCTAGTTTCTCCTTGTAGTTTATTCATCTTTTATTGGACTTAGTGTATTTTACTAGTATATCATTGATGTCATGTTTGTTCTGTTTTGTGTGCCTGCATTGTAAAAGGAAAGTTTAAGTTTTTTTGTTCTTTTTTTTTAAACATTGTCATTTAACTGACAAATTACATTTGTAGAAATGACAATTTACTTTGTATGTAAATCAGTTTATTTTTAGCATCATATGGCAGAACCTTAATTTAACTCACAGATTTTTTTCCCCCATGTTTCTAAATTAGGATTCTAACATAAAATTGTATGCTGGGTTTTGGAAGCTGTGAATTTAAAAACCAAAAGCTGAACCTTTAGAGATTAGCATACAAAGTGGGAACCGGTAAAGGCTTAGGACAGTGACTGTTAAATAGTCCCTTCCCCCGACCTAATGGTTTTCAGTTCCAAAGTCTTAACAATTGCTTTTGCAGTTTTGACAACAGGTGAATATTAGAAGTAGCCAACAAAAAGTAAGATCAGAAATCTTCTAAAATAGAAATAAATACTCTAAAACATGGAATTAATTATATTGACCAAAATAAAATGTATTTTAACTGTAGCAACCTTCTGATATCCAAACATATCATAGTAAGACTCAATAAGGTATTGTAAACCCTGAAAATTTTTACAAAGCATATTGGCAAAAATTGGAACTGTTTTAAGTAGACTCCAAGCCGTACAAAACTAAATTTTGTCTGCTAGTTCCTGTGCATTTTTCACACCATAAGTTACCTGTGTGAATTACTCTTTAAACATTTCCATGTAGAGATGGTGATGAACAACTTTTTTGTACAAAACCATTTCAAGAAAATGAAAATGTTCATATACTTCCATTTAAAAATTTCAAAATGAAAATACTTTATTGAGTGCCATGCAAGGAAAAAATGTGTAAACTTAACAAGTTAGATTAACCACTTTAGTAATTAGAAAAATGCCACTGGGAATTTGGCATTGCTTTTTAGACACTAAATTACTACTTTCTGGATGTGTTTAAGAAGCAGCAACATACAGGTAGCTTTACAGTTTCTTATCCCGAGTTAGTGGGCTATGTATCATGAAGCTAGGGACACCACTTTTGGACCCTGGATCTGTATTACTTTATCCTGGGAATTGAAAATATGTAATGGTCTCATTTACTCCATTGATCTCAATCACTGCCAGTTTCTATGTTCCAGTCTTTAATTTATGTTAAATTGCTTTTTCTACCAAAGAACCATCAATCACTTAGGTCTTATAACTTCCATCACTAGAACTAGTAATTTGCTTTTTTTTTTTTAAATCAAGTATCTATTTTCAAAGAATAGAGAAAAAAAAAAGCGGCCTTAAGATACAGATGTTGGAAAGTCAGCTTGTGAGTTGGTTTTGCCCCTCTACTTTGACACACAGTTACTCTCTTATTCAAAATTATGATGAGGACCCTTGAGGTCACTTGTGAGGGTCAAAACTATTTATATTAAATCCATAAATGACATCGGTCTGCTATATTTATTTCACACAGATAAATCCTATGCTAGAAATTAAAACTGTAATTTAAGATTACATAAAATGACTAGTACTGAAAGGTTTAAAAATTTTTAAATATTCTCATTTTTGATAAAAATTTTCATAAAATGCCATAGTTCTTGCTTACTAGAGGACCGTCATCAGCATTTCTAA